GTGTGACCTCACCCCAGTAGTTAATTTAGCATTCTCTCACTCTAAGTTAATCCTGAATCATGGCTTTGAGAATTTATTTCATCTATCTATCTATCTATCAATCAATCAATCTATCCATCTATCATCTATGTATTCCTATTCTCCTCATACTTTATATTTTTCAACAAGTATGACTTTTAAAAACACAGTCGGGTGGTATGACTTATATCTAGATGAGAACAATTATATAATTTAATTTTTATCTATTTTGAACATTAAACGATTCTCAAATTAAGTGAAGGTCTACATAAATCCTGTTCAAAGCTTCTACCAAAGATGGAGCTTGTAATTAAGCAAATCAAGTATTTGTAGTTTTTTTGTCAGGTAATTGTTATTTTGCTTTTTGTAAGTAGCAGAGACAATACGTTTTGGAGAGGCAATTTCCAAGGTAAGTGTTCCAGGAAAATGTGATTTATAGTGTGTAACTTTTATAGATATTTTCCTGCTCATTTTTAAAAATTTGAGACATTAGAGGAACCATTGCCTTTTGGGTCTTTCTCCCGATTTTTGATACTGGTATAATATTCTTGATGAATCTTTCCCTGAACATAGAATAGCATATGGAAGGATAGGTGGATTTTCTTATGCACCATGAAATTTGAGATTCTTGAAACGAGTTATACTTTTTCTAAGCTTCTGCTTTAACTAGAAAAATTGTTTCTCTCCTATGTGGTACCTATTCTTGATGGATTAAGTAGTCAAATATTTGGATGGCTAATAAAGTGAAACATATAAAGGTCACTGTTGATATTTATTTAAGCCACATTCTTCAGGAAAATATGAGAAGCAAGTGTGATATTCAGGAATCTGCTTACTTTGTTATCTCCTATTAAGTAGAGATTTCCCAAACCTATTAGAGAGGGATTTTTGCTCTGTATTTTAAGGATTTCAACACCTCTTATGGCTCTAATATATTATATACTGTTCTGGAACCAGCCCACCAAAACAGAAAAGGGGATGTCCAATCCTTTCTACTTCCATATATAAGTAAAGCAGTGGTATTAAGATGTAGCCACATAGAAAGATGTACCTTCTAAACTTGAATGAAGGAGACAATATTGATAATTATTAGAAATAGAACAATCTTTCCGGGCGCGGTGGCTCATGCCTGTAATCCCAGCACTTTTGGAGGCCTAGGCTGGTGGATCTCCTCAGGTCAGAAGTTTGAGACCAGCCTGGCCAACATGGTGAAACTCCATCTCTATTAAAAATACAAAACTTAGCCTGGCATGATGGTATACACCTGTAATCCCAGTTACTCGGGAGGCGGAGGCAGGAGAACTGCTTGAACTTGGGAGGCAGAGGTTGCAGTGAGCCAAGATTGTGCCATTGCACTCCAGCCTGGGAGACAGAGCAAGACTCTGTCTCAAAATAAATAAATAAATAAATAAAATAGAACAATCTAGTGTCCCAATGCAAAGTAGATTCAGTGATATGAGGATTAGGAAGAATGCCATCTTTCATAACTATGAAATCTATGTTGATCATACCTTTCTCCTGTTACCACAGTTTCTCTCTCTTATACACAAATATATATATATATATATGTTATTTGTCTGTTGTACTCATCAGATGCTAAATGAGACAAAAACATAAAAGAGTCATCCGCATACTGATGTTGATAGTTGCTATTTCCAGTTTCTAAAATTCCCCATTTATGTAAATCTTTGCACTCCCACGGATCTACTGCAATTTTCTTAGGAGTCACTTTTTTCATGCTGCATTCCTAATGATTATAAACTACTGAGAGCATCAGTTTAAATTATGTCATTTCTGTGAAATATACATACTTCTAATGCTACAAAAATTACATTAACAAGATGACCAAATAGAAGCTTCCACCAATTGTCCTCCCCACAGGAATATGAAATGTAACGACTACCTACACAAGAAAGCACCTTCCTAAGAACCAAAAATCAGGTGAGCAATCACCTGGTTTTAATTTGATATTACTAAAAGAGACACTGTAAAGAGTAGGAGAGATAGTCTCAAATAGCTGACATCACACCTTTTCCATTCCTTAGCAGGGGCTGCATAATATAGAGAATCTGTATGCTTGGGGGAGGAGAAGTGCAGTGATTATGGGACTTTACATTGGAATTCAGTGCTGCCCTGTCACAGTGGAAAGCAACACTTTGCAGAATTCAGCTGATGCCCACAGAGGGAGCATTTAGAACCTCTAGCCAAAGAGAAATTGTCCATCTCCTTGCTTGCAACTTGAGTTTCAGCAAGTCTCACCACTGCAGGCTAACGTGCTCTGGCATTCCAATTAAACTTGAAAGGCAGGCTGGGCGCAGTGGCTGTCTGCGCACAGTAGCTCACACCTGTAATTCCAGCACTTTGGGAGGCCAAGGCGGGTGAATCACTTGAGGTCAGGAGTTTGAGACCAGCCTGCCAACATGGCGTAACCCCATCTCTACTAAAAAACACACACAAAAAATTAGCTAGACATTGTGGCATGTGCCTGAAATCCCAGCTACTAGGGAGGCTGAGACAGGAGAATTGCTTGAATCCAGGAGGCGGAGGTTGCAGTGAGCTGAGATTGCACCACTGCAGTCCAGTGACTCCATCAAAAAAAAAAAAAAAGACAGGCAATGTAAGCCACAAAGAAACTCACTACCTTGAAGGGAAAGACCACATTCTGACAGAATGTATCACCTACTGACTAAAGAGCCCTTGGGCCCTGAATAATCAGCAGCATTAGTCAGTTAGTACATGCGATGGACCTTAGGTGACACTCTGAGATGTGCTGGCTTCAGGTATCACTCAGCATATTCACAGCTGTGGTGGCTATAGGGAGACACTGCTTCTGCTTGAGAAAAGCAAAGAGAAAAGTGACTTTGTCTTGCAGCTGCAATGGGGCAGAGTACCAAGTGGACTCTTGGGGTCACCAGTACCAAGCATTGACTCTTGAATGACATTTCTGGACCTTTCCTGACCAAGAGGGGGAGCTTACCGCCCTGAAGGGTAAACCTAGGCCTGGCAACATTCACCAAAAGCTGACTGAAGGGAACTTGGGCCTTGATTGAACATTGTTGGTAGCCTGGCAGTATTCCCTGTGGAACTGTAGTGGCAGTGGCCATGGAGTAAGGATCCTCTGCTTGTGGAAAGGGGGAAAAAAAGAGTGGGAATAACTTTGTCTTTTGGCATGTCAGCTCAATCACAGTAGAATAGAGTACCAGGTAAATTCCTAAGGTTCTGGACTCCAGACACGGGCTCCTGGATGGCTTCCCTGGACCTACCTGGGCTGGGGGGGGAGGGGGCAGTTTTCCACCCTAAAGGGAAAGAGACAAGCCTTGTTGGCTTTGCCATCTGCTAACTGTAGAGCCCTAAGGTTTGAACCAACATAGATGCTGGCCACGTAGTGGTTATAATGGGCTCTGGATGAGACCAAGGGCTGTGCTTGCTTTAGATCTGACACAGTGCAGTCCCGGTGGTGGTGGCCACAGCAGTCCTTTTATTGCCCCTCCCGTAGCTCCAGGCAGCAAAGCATAGAGAAGAAGACATAATTAGTTTGGGGGAATGTAAGAGAAGAGAACAAGAATTCTCTGGTAATCTAGGGAATTCTTCTGGATCTTATAAAAGACCACCAAGGCAGTACCTCTGAGTCTGCAAGAGCCAAGCATTACTGGGCTAAAGGTGCCCCGTAGTGCAGATACAGTTGTGGTGACTGAAGTTATCACTTCACCCAAATCCGTTTGAATACCTTGAAAGCCTTCCCAAGAATGATGGGTACAAATAAGCTGAAACAATGAGACTACAAAAATCCTGACTCTTCAATGCCCAGACACTGACAAATATCCGAAAGCATCAAGGCCATCTAGGAAAACATAATCTCACCGAATAAGCTCAATAAGGCACCAGGGACCAATCCTGGAAAGATAGATCTTTCAGACAGAGAATTAAAAATAGCTGTTGTGAGGGAACTCAATGAAGTTCAAGATAACATACATAAGGAATTCATAATCCAATCACACAAATTTAACAAAACAATTGAAATAGTTAAAACGAATCAAGCAGAGATTCTGGAGCTGAAAATGCCATTGGCACACTGAAGAATGCATCAGCATCTCAGTTGCAGAACTGATCAAGCAGAAGAAAGAATTAGTGACTCTGAAGATATGTTCTTTGAAAATACACAGACAGAAGGGGGGGGGGAAGAATAAAACAGAATGAAGCATGTCTACAAGTTCTAGAAAATAGTCTCAAAAGAGAAAATCTAAGAGTTACTAACCTTAAAGAGGAGATAGACAGACATAGAAGCAGAAAGTTCATGCAAAGAGATAATAGAATTTCCAAAACCTAGAGCAATGTATCAATATTCAAGCATAAGAAGGCTGTAGAATACAAAGAAAATTTAACCCAAAAGTATTTAATAATGAAACTCCCAAAGGTCAAGGATTTAAAAAAAAAAAAAAAAAGGATCCTAAAAGCAGTAAGATAGAAGAAACAAGTAACATACAAACGAAATCCAATACATTTGGCAGCAGATTTCAGTAGAAACCTTACAGGCCAGGCCAGGAGAGAGTGGCATGACATATTTAAAATGATGAAAGAAAAAAAAGATTTTACCCTAGAATGGTATATTCAATGAAAATATTCTTCTAAAAAGAAGGGGAAATAAAACATTTGTCAGACAAACAAAAGCTGAGAGACTTCATCAATACCACATGAGACCTACTAGAAATGCTAAAGGGAGTTTTTCCATCTGAAAGAACAGAATGTTAATGAGCAATAATAAATCATCTGAAGGTACAAAACTTACAGGTAATAGTAGGTATGCAAAAAATCACAGAATATTATAACACTATACTTGTGATGTATAAACTACTCATATCCTCAGTAGAAAGATTAAAAGATGAAGCAATTGAAAATACAAACTACAATTCCTCAAGGCATAAACAGCACTAGGAGACAGAAATACAAAGGACAACAGGTTAAAAAGTGAAGAGGCGAATAGAGGCCACGTGCGCAGAGCGAGCGCCTGCTGCCTCCCCGCCCCTCCCGCAACACTCGACCCCAGGATTCCCCCGGCTCGTCTGCCCGCCATGGCCGACATGGAAGCAGCGTTCGACGACGCAGTGGAAGAACGAGTGATCAACGAGGAATACAAAATATGGAAACAGAACACCCCTTTTCTTTATGATTTGGTGATGACCCATGCTCTGGAGTGGCGCAGCCTAACTGCCCAGTGGCTTCCAGATGTCACCAGACCAGAAAGGGAAAGATTTTAGCATTCATGGACTTGTCCTGGGGACACACACATGGGATGAACAAAACCATCTTGTTATAGCCAGTGTGCAACTCCCTAATGATGATGCTCAGTTTGATGTGTCGCACTACGACAGTGAGAAAGGAGAATTTGGAGGTTTTGGTTCAGTTAGTGGAAAAATTGAAATAGAAATCAAGATCAACCATGAAGGAGAAGTAAACAGGGCCCGTTATATGCCCCAGAACCCTTGTATCATCGCAACAAAGACTCCTTCCAGTGATGTTCTTGTCTTTGACTATACAAAACATCCTTCTAAACCAGATCCTTCTGGAGAGTGCAACCCAGACTTGCATCTCCGTGGACATCAAAAGGAAGGCTATGGGCTTTCTTGGAACCCAAATCTCAGTGGGCACTTACTCAGTGCTTCCGATGACCACACCATCTGCCTGTGGGACATCAGTGCCGTTCCAAAGGAGGGAAAAGTGGTGGATGCGAAGACCATCTTTACAGGGCATACAGCAGTAGTAGAAGATGTTTCCTGGCATCTGCTCCATGAGTCTCTGTTTGGGTCAGTTGCTGATGATCAGAAACTTATGATTTGGGATACTCGTTCAAACAGTACTTCCAAACCAAGCCACTCAGTTGACGCTCACAATGCTGAAGTGAACTGCCTTTCTTTCAATCCTTTTAGTGAGTTCATTCTTGCCACAGGATCAGCTGACAAGACTGTTGCCTTGTGGGATCTGAGAAATCTGAAACTTAAGTTGCATTCCTTTGAGTCACATAAGGATGAAATATTCCAGGTTCAGTGGTCACCTCACAATGAGACTATTTTGGCTTCCAGTGGTACTGATCGCAGACTGAATGTCTGGGATTTAAGTAAAATTGGAGAGGAACAATCCCCAGAAGATGCAGAAGACGGGCCACCAGAGTTGTTGTTTATTCATGGTGGTCACACTGCCAAGATATCTGATTTCTCCTGGAATCCCAATGAACCTTAGGTGATTTGTTCTGTATCAGAAGACAATATCATGCAAGTATGGCAAATGGCAGAGAACATTTATAATGATGAAGACCCTGAAGGAAGTGTGGATCCAGAAGGACAAGGATCCTACATATGTCTTTACTTCCTGTGATTTTAGACTCCCCTTTTTTCTTCTCAACCCTGAGAGTGATTTAACACTGGTTTTGAGACAGACTTTGTTCAACTATCCCTCTATATAATAGGTACCACCAATAATGCTATTAGCCCAAACAGTGGGTGTTTTCTAAATATTAATGGGGGGGCTTCATTCAGCAAAGCCACAGACTTACGTTGAAATTTTCTTCAGGAATTTTCTAGTAACCCAGGTCTAAAGTAGCTACAGAAGGGGGACTATTATGTGTGATTATTTTTCTTCTTATGCCATATATCCCCAAGTTTTTCAGACTCATTTAAGTAAAGGCTAGAGTGAGTAAGGAATAGAGCCAAATGAGGTAGGTGTCTGAGCCATGAAGTATAAATACTGAAAGATGTCACTTTTATTCAGGAAATAGGGGAGATTCAAGTCATATAGATTCCTACTCGAAAATCTTGACATCTGACTTTCCAGGATGCACATTTTCATATGTAGACCAGTTTCCTCTTGGTTTCCTCAGTTAAGTCAAAACTACATGTTCCTCTTTCCCCATATATTCATATATTTTTGCTCGTTAGTGTATTTCTTGAGCTGTTTTCATGTTGTTTCTTTCCTGTCTGTGAAATGGTGTGTTTTTTTTTGTTGTTGTTGTTTTTAACTTGGGACCACCAAGTTGTAAAGATGTATATTTTTACCAGACAGTTACACCACAGGCAGACTGTCAAGTTGAGAAGAGTGAATCAATAACTTGTATTTGTTTTAAAAATTAAATTAATCCTTGATAAGAGTTGCTTTTTTTAGGAGTTAGTCCTTGACCACTAGTTTGATGCCATCTCCATTTTGGGTGACCTGTTTCACCAGCAGGCCTGTTACTCTCCATGACTAACTGTGTAAGTGCTTAAAATGGAATAAATTGCTTTTCTACATAAAAAAAAAGTGAAGAGGCAAAGTGAAGAGTTGTTATTCATTTGCTCTTTTCTTGTTTAATTGTGTATGCAATTAGTGTAAAATCATCATCAGATTAAAATAATGAATATTATTTGCAAGTATCATGGTAATCTCAAATTAAAAAACACCGAGGATACACAAAAAATAAAAAGCAAGCAACTAAATAATATAACCAGAGAAAATCACCTTAACTAAAAGAAAGACAGGAAGAAAGAAAACAAAAAAGGAAGACAAGACCAGAAAACAATCAGAATGCAAATAGCAAAAATGGCAGGAGTAAGTCCTTACTTATCAATAATAACACTGAATGTAAATGGACTAAACCATCCATTCAAAAAACAGAGTAGCTGAATGGATTAAAAAAAAAACAAAAAACAAATAGGGACATGACACGTATACACTGACAATAAAGGGATGGAAAAAGGTATTCCATGCCAATGGAAACCATAAAGGAAAAAGCGTAGCTATATTGATATCACTAATAGATTTCAAGACAAAAACTATGAAAAGAGACAGAGAAGGTCATTATATAATGATAAAGGGCTCAATTGATCAAGAAGATATGAAAATTTTAAATACATATGCACACAATACTGGAGCACCCAGATACATAAAGAAAATATTACTAGAGCTAAATGGAGGGATGGTCCTCAATAAAATAATAGCTGGAGGCTGTAACACCTCACTTACAGCAGTGGACAGATTTTTCAGACAAAAAATCAACAAAGAAACATCAGACTTATTCTGCAGCCTAGACTAAGTGGACATGATAGATATTTAGAAAACATTTCATGTAACAGATGCAGAATATACTTTATTTTTTCTCAGCACATGAATCATTTCTCAAGGATAGATCATATATTAGGTCACAAAACAAGTCTTAAAACATTCAAAGAAGTTGAAATAATATTAAGCATGTTCTGTGACCATGATGGAATAAAACTATAAATCAATAACAAGAGGAATTTTGGAAACTATACAAATACATGGAAATTAAGCAATAAGCTCCTGAATGACTAGCAGGTCAAGGAATAAATTATGAAGAAAATTTAAAAATGTACTGAAACAAATAGAAATGGAAACACAACATAACAAAGCTTTAGGATATAGCAAAAGCAATAGTAAGATAGAAATTTGTAGCTATATGTGCTTACATCAGAAAAGTAGAAAAAGGTCAAATAAGCAATGTAATGATACATCTTAAATAACTGGAAAAGCAAGAGCAAACCAAATTCAAAATTAATAGAAGAAAGGAAACAATTAAAATATAGCAGAAATAAATGAAATTGAAACAAAGAAAACAATGCAAAAGATCAGTGTAACCCACGGCAGCTTCTTTGAAAAGATAAACAAAATTGGCAAACTTTTATCCAAATTAAGAAAAAAACAGACTGGGCATGGTGGCTCACACCTGTAATCCCAGCACTTTGGGAGGCTGAGGCAGGCAGATCACCTGAGGTTGGGAGTTCAAGACCAGCCTAACAAGGAGAAACCCTGTCTCTACTAAAAATACAAAATTAGTCGGGCATGGTGGCACATATCTGTAATCCCAGCTACTCAGGAAGCTGAACCCGGGAGGCAGAGGTTGCAGTGAGCTGAGATCGTGCCATTGCACTCCAGCCTGGGCAACAAGAGTGAAACTCCATCTGAAACAAACAAACAAACAAACAAACAAACCAACCAGAGAAGGGTCAAATAAATAAAAATAGAGATGAGAAAGAACACATTACATCCAATACCTCAGAAAGTTAATAGATCATTAGAGGCTACTTTGAGCAACTATATGCCAATAAATTGGAAAACCATGGAATGAACAAATTCCTAGATACATACAACCTACCAAGATTGAAACATGAAGAAATACAGACCTGCACAGAGCAATAACAAATAACACAATTGACATCATAAAAAAAAATTACCTAGCAAAGAGAAGCCCATGAAGCAAAGGCTTCACTGCTGAACTTTACCAAACATTTACGAAATAACTAATATCAATCATACTTAAACTATTCAAAAAAACAAAAAAAAAGAAAAAGAAAAAAAAAACAGAGAAACAGAGAATACTTCCAAACTAATTCTACAAGGCCAGTTTTTCTCTGATACCAAAATCAGACAAAGTCTTAAAAAAATGTAGGCCAAATATACCTGATGTACATTGATGCAAACATTTTCTGCAAAATATGAGCAAATGAAATTCAACTATACATTAAAAAGATCATTCATCAATGATCAAGTGGCATTTATCCCAGATATGCAAGGATGGTTCAACATATGCAAATCAATCAATGTGATTCAACATGTCAACAGAATGAAGGACAAGAGCATATGATCATTTAAATTGATTTGAGAAAGCATTTGATAAAATTGTACATCCATTCATGCTAAAACCCTCAAAAACTGGATATAAAAGGAACATACCTCAAAATAATAGAAACCACCAATGACAGACCCACAGGCAGTATCATCCTGAGTGGAGAAAAACTAAAACCTTTTCTCTTAAGATCTGAAACATGACCAAGATGCCCACTTTTGCAACTGTCATTCAACATACTACTGGAAATTCTAGCTAGAGCAATCAGACAAGATAAATAAATGAAGAACATCCAAATTGGAAAGGAAGAAGCCAATTATTTTTGTGTGCAGATGATATAATCTTGTATTTTAAAAAAACCCTAAAGATTACATACAGAAACTATTAGAAGTGATAAACTCAGTAAAGTTGCAGCATACAAAATCAACATACAAAAATCAGTAGCATTTCTATATGCCAACAGTGAGCAATCTGAAAAAGAAATCAATAATGTAATCTCATTTACAATAGCCACAAATAAAATCAAATATCTAGGAATGAAATTATTCAAAGAATGAAAGATCTCTACAATGAAAATGATAAAATGCTGGTGAAATAAATTGGCAAGGACACCAGAAAATGCAAAAAATACTCGATGTTCGTAGATTGGAAGAATCATTGTTATTAAAATGTCCATACTACCCAAAGCAATCTGCTGATTCAGTGAAATCCCTATCAAAATGCCAGTGATATTCTTTACAAAAATAGAAAAAAAAAATGTAAAATTTGTATGGAAACACAAAAGACCCAGAACAGCCAAATACATCTTGGAGAAAAAATAACAACACTGGAGGAATCATATTACCTAACTTCAAATTGTACTACAGAGCTATGTTAATGAAAACAGCATGGTAGTGGCATAAAAACAGACACATAAACTGATGGAGCAGAATAGATAACCCAGAAACAAATCCGTGCAACTACAGTGAACTCATTTTTGACAAAATGCCAAGAACATACACTGGGGAAAGGACAGTCTCTTCAACAAACAGTGCAGAGGAAACCGGATATCCATATGTAGAAGAAAGAAACTAGACCCCTATCTGTTGCCGTATACAAAAATCGAATCAAAATGGATTAAAAACTTAAATCTAAGACCTCAAACTATGTAGAAAACCCTGGAGAAAGTCTCCACGACATTGGACTTCGCAAAAATATCTTGAGCAATTCTCCACAAACACAGACAGTCAAAACAAAAAATGGACAAATGGGATTACATCAAGTTGAAAAGCTTCTGCACAGCAAAGAAAATAATCAACAAAGTGAAGAGATAACCCGCAGAATGGGAGAAAATATTTGTAATCTATTCATCTGACAAGGGATTAACAACTGGAATATATAAGGAGCCCAAACTATTGTATGAAAAACAATCTAATAATCTGATTTAAAAATGGGCAAAAGATCTGAATAGACATTTCTCAAAGGAAGACAAACAAATAGTTAACAGGTATGTAAAAAGGTGCTCAACATTATTGATTATCAGAGAAATGAAAAGCAAAACCAATAGGATATCATCTCACCTCAATTAAAATGATTTTTATCCAAAAGCAGTAACAGATGTTGTCAAGCATATGGATACAAGGGAACCTTCATACACTATTGGGGGGAATGTAAATTAGTGCAACCACTGTGCAGAACAATATGGAAGTTCCTCAAAAAACTAAAAATATAACTACTATATGACCCAGAATCCCACTGCTAGGTATACACCCAAAAGAAAGGAAATCAAGATATTGAAGTGATATCTACAGTCCCATGCTAATTGCAACACTCTTCACAATAGCCAATATTTGGAAGCAACCTGTGTCTATCAACAGATGAATGGATAAAGAAAATGTGTACGTATACACAGTGGAGTACCATAAAAAATGCAATTCTGGTATTTGCAACAACATGGATGGAACTGGAGGTCATTCTGTTAAGTGAAATAAGCCAGGCACAGAAAGACAAACTTTGCATGTTCTGACTTATTTATGGAAACTAAAAATTAAAATAATTGAACACATAGAGATAGAGAGTAGAAGGGTGGTTACCAGCACCTGGGAGGGGTTGCGTAGTGGAGAATGTGGGGATGGTTAATGCATGCGAAAAATGGAAAGAATGAATAAAATCTAATATTTTGATAGCACGACAGTGACTATTGTCAATAATAATTGAATTATACATTTAAAAATGACTAAAATAGTATAATTGGATGGTTTGTAACACAAAGGATAAAGGATTGAGGTGATGTATAGCCCATTTATCCTGATACGATTGTTATGCATTGCATGGCTATATCAAAGTATCTCATGTACTTCATAAATATATACACCTACCATTACCCACAAAAATAAAAAATAAGAATTTAAGAAAGTAACTCTACATTACATTATCAGCCTGTTTTATGATATCTCTTTGTATGTAAAGAGATATCATAAAAGAAAAAGAGCAAATTACATTACTTTTTTTTATTTGTGTGTAAGTGCAGTTCAGTTCACTTTGCATTATTTTTTTTAATTTTTCCTAGCTCTGGTGCTGTACTTGGCAAATGTCAGTTACTAAATATATGCCTGTTGAATGAAAATGATTTAAACTAAAAAATGGGGAAGCTTGAAAGTTTTATTTTCAATCTTGAGTTTATTAATATTTTCCTCCT